GGTGCCGGGGAGCCGCCGTGTCTCTGCGTGTGACTGCGCCTGCGCGCGGGGGTCCGCGGGGGCGCGCACGGGGGTCGCGCCCTGTGCCCGCGGCCCTGTGGCCGCAGGTGCGTCCGCGCACGGTCCCCGCGCCGCCGCCGCCGGGCTTCTCTCCAGAGCGCTGAAGCGGCGCTGCCCGCGCTGCCCTAATTAACGGACTTTGATGAGAATTCAGCTCTCGGTGCACAGATCCCAGAGGTGACGCCGATCCAGGATTGCCCCCGACAGGCAATTCAGCAATGCGGTTTGATCTGGAGAGGAAACAAAAGATACTTCACTCATCTTAAGCCGCTTAAACTTCATTTGTGGGGGGACCTCAAGAGCAAACACGAACACAGAACACGGGGCGTTATGCTCTATCGCCCTGTGAAACTCCTTCTCAGTACTCGCCCCTCACGCACAGTATTTATCTAATGACAGAGCTGCTGCAATAACACATCTGCAAATCCCTTGCTACAGTTCATCCCCAGTCACTGAGACATCCCTACCCCTGCATCTCTTGTGCTGCCTGTCTCCCTCCCTTCCCCAGGAGACGGCAGGGTGAGGGTCGTCTCCGGCACACCAGTCCACAAACTCTAGTTATCTGCCCTGGGGCTCTTGTCTGGGAGTCCCAGTTTTGCCCCCTTCCCCCTTCAGATCTAGTTGGAAGCTCTCACTGACCCCAAGATCCTTTCCCCCTCTGGGACAGGTGCACCCCACATGATGCCAATAGCTCTGGCGTCCTGTACACTGACCCATGACTGAACAATCCAAACCCCGACAGTAACACCAGTCTCGGAGCCACCAGCTCATCTGTTGAGTTCTCCCGTGATCTCCCTCATCTGAGGGGCCTTTGGCACCCTCAGAATGGAGTCACCTACTGCAATGACCCTTCTGGGGTTCTTTTTAGAACTGGTTTTAATACCTGGTCTAAGGCAACCTAGCCTTGGTGGACCTTCATCTTCCTCCTCCTTTGACTCATTTTCTTCCTCTTTCTCTGCTTCATTCTCAAATTCCAGGCCTGTATCTGTGGTGAAGGACTCCCCCCACAGCACCTTTGCAGTGTGTGCTCGTTTCTGCATCACCCCGAGAGGAAGGGAAGCCCCTCCTGAGCGACCTGAGGCCATCGCAAGAGGAAACCACCCCCACGGAGCTCCTGTAGAAAGCCAGAGTCTCTCTTTGTTTTATCAACCGGATTAAAACCCTTCCTGTCTGTTCAGTGCTGCGGTGACCTTTGTCTAACAGACACATCCTGCAGGTGCTGCTTCTAAGCCAGTTCAGACAAAGATTGATGTTCCACGGTTCTGCTGTACCAGACCTGGTAAAGGCAAACACCAGAGTTGCTGTGTTTTGCAGAAACAAGACTACAACTGTGAAGTTGTAACGTAGGTATGTTTATTCAGCGCCGGGCGCAATGGGGGATCGCTCCTCGACAAGCATGCGCATCCTTTGCAGCTCTCGTCCTGCTTATATATTACAAAATAATGCATATTCATAGAATGCTTATACATATACATAATATATCCCCGCCTCCCCTTGCTTCTCATAGTAATTAGGTGTCCTCCTCTTGCGTCTGCGCCTTGAGTTCCTTTGGTGGGCGCAAATTCCTGGGTGGGGGTCGTATAGATGAAGTATCTCCTCTTCCTCGCTGATGAACTTTTTACCCTGTCCTTTGCGCAGCCTTACTTGTTCCCTGGCTCCTGGCTAAACCGCAAGGCCAGTTTGTCATAGGATTTGAAGTGATCTATTGCTGATTTGTACCACTTCAAGGACGATAGGAAGCTTCTGTTTGAGCCAGAAGATAATATCTTAGCAACACTATCAGCACCTGGTATGTCTTCCCACATAGCCCTCTCATCTTGGCGCAAGCTCCTCAGTCTTGCACCATCTAACTAAAATTGTTTAATTCCCTATCTCGTTCCCCCCTTTTCTTCCTACTTAGTAAATTCTTTTACTACTCCAACCATCCTACAACTCACTTTTATAACTAAGTTGTGTTAGTCTACATTAATCTTTTGAAACTTGGGTTATATTTTGCCTGTTGTGTGCATTTGCTGCCTTGATGTTTTTGCCCTGTATCATTCCTTGCTTTGTTCAGTTAATCCAACATGTTGTATCCAACATGCAATTTACATCTATTGCCTCACCTGATGATGTAAAACAGATTCGAGCTGTTCGCCTATCAAAGTCTACCACTGTATCAATCATTTAAACCTTATATATATATCTACACATGTATCATTGTTTATATTTAGGAGAGGAGAGGCCTAAACAACACATGCGCTTTGGTCTGGGGTCGTGGAAATCCATTTTCTTTCTGCGTAGATGGAACACCTCCCCTTTCTACTTTAGGCGAGTCAGACCACCATCTTTGGCTTCGCAGCTTGCAAGCATGTACACGCTTTTAATACTTAATTTTATAGCGGTTGCTTTATTGGCTTTTGCTATACTTTCTCTTGCAATATGTATGTGTTTTTTCTGTAAGTGTCCATGTAAACTGTTTTGTAGTTGCACCATTTCATGCAAACCACCACCTCCTTCTCCTCCTCGTCTCCAGAGACCGAGACCATCGTGTTCTTCTGCTGCTTCGCCTAAACTTTTTTTGCTTCACTCAAGCCTCAACTGCCTTCATGTTTTTCATGTGAACTTCATAGTTCTTATTTACCTGATTCTCAGCCGTCATGTTCTTTTGCTAATCTTTGTGAATATCAAGTTTAGTTTGTAAGATGTCCTTATATATTAATTTTGATAATTGTTAGAAATAGGAAATTTGTTTACTTAAAATGGAATTTTCTAGACTCAAATGATGGATGCACTTTGGGATAAAAAAAAAGGGTGTGTGTGTGTGCAGAGAGCCTTTTTCTCACTGCGCATGCTGATCCCGATCCCAGCAGACCGGAGCAGCCGACCATGTGGACTTGCAGGGTACCACCATCTTGTGGTATATCTTTGATTATAATTGCAAAAATGGATCGCATTTTAATAATAGTTTTGATTCACGTTACCTTTTTTGCCCTGTTGGCAATCATTCTGCTTATTATTTTTACACTTCTGTTTTGTCCCTGCAAATGTTTTCCTTGGAGACTGTTGCGGCATCCCTCTGCTGATTCTGCAGAGCCTTAAAATTACTTTATAAAATGTCATATTTGTTAAAATTGTTCCCAGTTATATTTGTTCAAATTGTTCCTGGTTATATGATTGTTAGAAAAAAATGTTTATATTTGTTAAGAATATTGTTAAAAATATATTTGTTAAACTGTTTTATAATAGTTAAGAATACTCTTAAAAGATATTTATTAATTATGATATTGCACTTTTTCTAGCTTTTCTCTTTCTCTTTCTGTACTGTTACCTTTCACACCACCACGATGGCAGCAATGTTGAGCCATGGAGTGGTGTAAAGGACTTTTTGGACTTTTGGTTTGTCTCAGCATTGCTGCCTTCATGAATACCACTTCCTGGCAACAGCATCCTGTTGTTGTGGAGGAGTACGTTTAGAAGGAGACAAATAGTCCCTGACAAAACCACGATATCCGCCAAAGGCAAAAAACAGCAGCAGCCTTACCAGCACCCATTGAGCTGCACCTGCGCACAAGCCGGGTGGAGGGGAAACCATGGCGAGACTGAAGATGCTGCAGATTGGCCCCTCACCAGCACAACCACCATGGACACCTGGGCATGCGCGTATGGAGGACCATGGGGTGGCACACAGAATGACGAGCTCCGTAGAAATGAGTGGACAAATCGTGGGGACGGGGACTATAAAAGGACAGACTGCGTACGCCTCTCAGAGAGAGAAACTAAAGAAGATTATTAGAGGATACTGTTTGGTGGAGACTAACATGGAGCCAGGAACGTGGAGCATCATCAAGCCGCCAGAACATCGCTGGATCCCTGGTCGTGGTGGTGGTAATTAGTTGCACCTCTACCATGTTCTTGCTTAGGGATTCCGACCTTTTTCTTCCTTTTCCTCTCCCTCTCTGTCCTATTGCTTTGATCAATTGTTATAGAGAATAAAGTTTCTAAGGTTATACAGCATCTGACCTAATTTGTGTCTTAATCTCGCTTTTGGCTTGGTTCATATTCGTAAAAGAGCTATAGGGAGAGATAGAGGCCAAGACAAATTAGTCTCCTATAACTAATTCAGTGTTAGTAGATTCTATCCCAGTCTTTTAAAACTCGGATTATGGTATAAAGCTTCATACATAATTTGCAGGCGTTTTGTAAGTCTCCAGTTCCATCTCTCTCTCTCTCTCTCTCTCTAGATATATACAGATATATATCTCTGCAGTAAGAGTTAACAAAATTACTATAGATATCAAAATAACTATTACTGGGTGAAGGATTGTGTTAAAAATTCTGGTTGCCACTGTTTACCATCCAAGGAGGGTGTCCCACCAATGATGTTCTCCTACCTTTCGTACTTTTGTCCAAATCTCGTGAATTTGCTCCATATCATGTCTTACTACTATTAGCATCTCCTTCCCTTTTTGTTTCACTTCCTCTAGAATGGAAAGTAAGTCTTTGTGCTGTAGTATCTCCTTCATTCTTTCCAAATTCATTCCTATGGGGGTAGAGCCTATTCTTTGAAACAAGGTGTATTCCGTTTCTATCACTTGGGAGCTCAGTATGGGGATAAAATAAAGTCACACCCTTCAATTTTAGTGAAATTATATGATTTTTCTGGGCGTGAGTCCAAGGCCAGTCTTTAGATTCCTGGGCACAGGCAAAAAGGATAATTCTAAAACATATTAACAGTTCCAACTCATGGTTGATCATTTTGAGGTCTCAATACAAAAGTTTTTGTTTGAATCTGAGTTTTAATGGTCCAGTTTCAGTCACCTCCCAGCGCTGTTTAGGAGCCTTCTTGACCCTAGTATGATGTATCCACGATGTCTGCTCTCTAATCTTGATTGCTGTAAATGTTGTGAGCAGCACCTGAAACGGCCCCTCCCACTGCGGTTCCAACGTCTTTTCTGCAAGAGACTTAACATACACATAATACTCAGACTGTATATTGTGTACAGGTCCATCTAATCCTCTGCCCCGAGTTCCAAATACGTTTCCCTATTTTATTGAGCTGTTTACTTAGAGCTACCATGTATGAAATTATGGTTTCCTCCCCAATTTGCATTGACGTTCCCTTCTGCACTGCGTAAGGTCTGCCATATAACATCTCAAGAGCCGAGACCCGAGCCAGACACCGAGCCGAGCCCAGAGCCCGGCCCCAAACCCAGCCCTGACCCGAGCTGAAACGAACCCAGAACCGATCCCCAAACCCAGCCCCGAGCCTAGCCGAGCCCAGAGCCTAGCCTCGAGAAGAACCCCAAGCCCAGCCTTGAACTGAGCCAAGCTGATTCCCGAGCCGAGCCCAGAAACGAGCCCCGAGCCGAGCCGAGCCAAGCAACGAGCCCAGCCCAGACTTCAGCGCCAAGCCGAGCTGAGCCGAATCCAGAGCCGATCCCCTAGACCAGAGCCCAGCCTCGAGACGAGCCGATCCTGGAGCCAAGTCCCAAGCCGAGCCGAGCCAAGCACCGAGCAGAGTCAAAGCAGAGCTGAGCATAGTCCAGACCCTAGCCCCGAGGTGAACCCAGAGCCCAGCCTTGAGCCGAGGAGAACTGATCCCCGAGTCGTGCCCTGAGCCCGGTCCCAAGCCGAGCCGAAGCCAGAGCCGATCCCCGAGCCCAGCCCTGAACAGAGCCGAGCTGTGAGCCAAGCCACGAGCCAAGAAGAGCAGAGACCAGAACCGAACCCTGAGTCGAGCCAAGACCAGAGTCAAGCTGAGCCCAGATCCCAGCCCCGAGCCGAGCTGAGCCGAGCCAAGTGCCAAGCTGAGACTAGCCCTGAACCCAGACTTGAGAGGAGCCGAACTCCGATACCAGGCTTGAGCCAAGCCGAGCAGATCACGAAGCTGAGTCTAGCCCAGCCCCGAGCTGAGCCTAGCAGAACCCAGTGCCCAGTCCCGAGACCAGCCCTTATGTGAGCTGAGCCGGACACAGAACCGAGGCCAGAGCCCAGGCCCTAGCCGAGCCGAGCCCAGAACCTAGCCCCGAGGTGAACCCTGAGCCCAGCCTTGAGCCGAGCCGAGCCCAGAGCCCAGCGTCGAGCCAAGCCCCGAGCCGAGCCCGATCCTAGCCCTGAGCCCAGGCCAGAGCCAAGCCCCGAGCCTAGCTCCAGCCGAATTAAGCCGAGTCACGGGCCCAGCCTCGAGCCGAGACCTGAGCGTAGCCTAGACCCGAGCCGAACCCAAAGCTGAGCCCACAGCCCAGCTCCGAACCTAGCCAAGACAAGCGTCGAGCCCAGCCCAGAGCCTGGCCACGAGCTGAGCTGACATGAGCCTAGCCCAGATCCTAGCTCCGAGCCGAACCCAGACCCGAGCCGATCCCCAAGATGAGCCGAGCCAAGAGCCGAGCCCAGCCCAGAGCACGGACCCGAGCTGAGCCGAGCCAAGCCTAGAGCCAAGCCCCGAGCCGAGACGAACAGAGCCCAGAGCCAAGACACGAGACAAGCCGAGCCCAGAGCCGAGCCTGGAGCCGAGCCGAGAGAAGCCCCGAGCCGAGACGATCAGCTCCCAGAACTGAATCCCGAGCCGAGCCCCGAGCTGAGCCTCGAGCCTAGCCGAGCCCAGCCCTGAGCCCAGCCCGGAGCCAAGAGCAGAGCCGAGAACCGAGCCGAGTCTAGCCGAAGACCGAGCCAAGACACTGGCCCAGCCCAGAGCCCAGCCCCGAGATGACCGATTCCGGAGACAATTCCCCAGCCGAGCCGAGTCGAGTCAAGAGCTGAGACCAGAGTCGAGCCAAACCCAGTGCTGAGCCTAGACCCCCAGCCCAGCCCCGAGTCGAGCCGATCCCGGAGCCAAGAACCCAGCCAAGCAGAGCTGATCCCCGAGCCAAATACGAGCCGATCCTCGAGCAGAGCCGAGTCCAGAGACGATCCTGGAGCCCAGCCCCGAGCCGAGAGAAGCAAAGCCCAGAGCCCAGCCCCGACCCGTGCTAATGCCCGAGACAAGAACCGAGCTCAGAGCACGGCCCCGAGCTGAGCCGAGCCAAGTCTAGCCCATAGCCTAGCCCCCAGCCGAACCCCGAGCCCAGCCTTGAGCCAAGCCGAGCAGATCCCTGACCTGAGCCCAGAGCCCAGCCCCGAGCCGAGCCGAGCCATGTGCCGAGCCCAGCCCAGAGCACGGTCCCGAGCCGAGCCGAGCCAAGCCAAGCCCAGAGCCTAGCCCCGAGCCGAAGCGAGCAGAGCCCAGAGCCAAGACACGAGACAAGCCGAGCCCAGAGCCGAGCCTGGAGCCGAGCCTAGATCTGAGCAGAGCCGAGCTCCAAGCCGAGCTCCGAATCCAGCCCAGAGCCGAGCCGAGAGAAGCCAAGAGCTGAGCCAGGAGCCGAGCCCCGAGCCAAGGCCAAAACTCAGCCCCGAGCCGAGCCGAGCCTAACTGAGAGCCTAGCCACTAGCTGAACCCCGAGCCCAGCCTTGAGCCAAGCCGAGCAGGTACTCGAACTGAGCCCAAGCCCAGCCCTGAGCCGAGCCCAGAGCCCGGCCCCGAACCGAGCTGATGCCCGAGACCAGAACCAAAGCCGGAGTACAGACCTGAGCCGAGACGAGCCAAGCCCAGAGTCTAGCCCCGAGCGGAGACCGGAACTCAGAGACGAGACTAGAGCTGAGCAGAAGCGAGCGCCGAGCCGAGCCCCGAGCCGATCGCCAAGCCGAGTCTAGCTGAAGACCGAGCCGAGCCACTGGCCCGGCCCCCGGCCAAGCCCCGAGCCGAGCCCAGAGCCGAGCCTAGCCCAGAGCCTAGACACAACCCGAACACCAAGCCCAGCCTTGAGCCGAGTGGAGCCAATCCCCTGCCTAGCCAGACCCCAGACCAGATCCTAGCCCCGAGCTGAGACGAGCAGAGCCCAGAGCCAAAACTCGAGCCAAGACCCGATACAAGCCGAGCCTAGAGCCGAGTCTGGAGCCGAGCCTAGAGCTGAGCAGAGCCGAGCTGCAAGCCGAGCCCCGAGTCCAGCACAGAGCCGAGCCGAGCGAAGCCAAGGGCTGAGCCAGGAGCCAACCCCCGAGCAGAACTGTGTCCTGATTCGAGCTCAGAGCCCGGCCCCGAGCTGAACCAAGCCCAGAGCCGAGCCCCGAGACCAGACCCGACCCGAGCAAAGCCGAACCAAGAACCAAGTCCCAAGCCAAGCCCAGAGCCGAGCCCAGAACCTAGCCCTGAGACCAGTCCCTAGCCGAGCCTAGCCCAGAGCCAAGCCCCGAGGCGAACACCGAGCACAGCCTTGAGCCAAGCCAAGCCGAACCCAGAGCCCGGTCCAGAGCCAAGCCGATCCGAACCCAGAGCCAATCTAGGAGCCCAGCCCCGAGCCAAGCCAAGCCAAGTCTAGCACAGAGACTAGCCCCGAGCCGAGCCGAG